TTATAAAATGAGTTTAGTCTAGCCAAAATGTCTCTCCTTGACTTTTCAGCCTTTCAAATTGTAAATGTTATTCTTCCCCAGTCTCTTCATAATATTAAGGTGAGCAGAAACTTGCATTATGCCTCCTTGACATAGCCTAGTGCGCTGGAGCAGAGGGAAGGGGATTCTTTTTGCCATGAAATGTATCTTGCTTATGTATTTATTTGGGATGAATCCTCCTTGTAGCCTTAGAGTTTTTCCTCCTCCGCAGTGATAGGGTGGCTCTCCATGGGTCCATTTGTTGCCATGGTGATGTGTGCCATCTTCCTGTTGGTGCTTCTTTACTTCAGTAAGTCCCTTCCTGTTATTGTCCTGGTAAATATGCCTGGAGATTCTTCAGAGCTAGTAACTGGTACCCATCATTCCTGTCATCTGATCACTATTGCGGGGTTTGTGAGTGAGCGTGGGGTCTGAGTTGTGCAGCTGCCCTAAGGGAACTGTGAAGAATAAGCCCCGAGTCAGCAACAGGAGAGCAGAAGAGACTTCCACCTATCCCTCCTCCCAAACTTGGGGTGCTGGGATGCAGGAGAGACCCCAAACAGCTGTGCCTTGTTTGGACATTAGTGTAAGGACCCAACCAGTCAGCCTTTATTTGTTTCAAAACAGAATTTGGAGCATCCTAGTAGCTCAGAATGATATTTTTAAAGATAACACACTTGACTAAAATTGCCCTGTGTTGGTTTTGCTGTGTTTTTCCTCCCCCAGGAGTATGATGGAGGAGTGTTTTTTCGAGCTACTTGAGTTTAATATTCATGTGTCTGCCAGCGTTTATGCGAAATATTTCTTTGACCTGCGTGCCTTGGCGTACGACCATGACCTGTGTTTTCTATTTAGTTTTCTTCGCAAAGATAAAGCACAGAGATTGAAGGTAAGGCTGTGAAGTCACTTAGTGGAGTTTCCCATCGGCCACAAAAGCCAACATCTGTGACAAAATCATATTAAGTAGTGATTAGGAAAATGAAAGCCTTAAAATTAACAGACCAAAGTGCTTATTTCTTTGGCATCATATTTCTTGTCTTTTATGCTTCATACAAGAATTATTATTATTATTATTTTATGAGAAGGAATTTCGCTCTTGTTGCCCAGGCTGGAGTGCAATGGTGCGATCTCAGCTCATTGCAACCTGCGCATCCTGGGTCCAAGAGATTCCCCTACCTTTGCCTCCCGAGTAGCTGGGATTATGTGCATGCACCACCATGCCCGGATATTTTATATTCTTATTAGAGACAGGATTTCTCCATGGTGGTCAGGCTGGTCTCGAACTCCTGACCTCAGGTGATCTGCCCGCCTTGGCCTCCCAAAGTGCTGGGATTACAGGGATGAGCCACTGCACCCGGCCAAGGATCTATATTTTAAAAAATTATTGATATTCTCACTGCTTTGACCATAATTCAGAATATTTTTAATTAAATTTAATCTGTTCTTAATGGGTTTTGTTTTTAATTTCTACCCGTTCACATAACATTCGTTATGCAGTTGTATTCCTAATTATATCTAAATAGACAATGTACTTACTGCCCTTGACTGTCTTTTTCTTAAGCAGTTTGCAATTTTGTGTCCTTGTCTATTCTATATATCTCGGTGCAGTCCCAGGAGTTTATCAGACAAAGCAGTAGTGGCTGAGAGACCTGAGCTTAGACTGTATAAGGTGCCAGTGTTTCAAGTACTAGATGTAGGAAAGACATGGGTTTTCAGTGAAAATGGCTTCATGGGACAACGTAAGATTTATGGCTATGACTCTTGGTGAGTATACAGGAAAATTCCAACTGAAATAGACACATTTAAAATTGGCACTGTCTCTGGTGTCTTGGTGATACTTTGGAATAATACATTTATCTACCACAATGTGCAAGTAAAGTAGCACCTTTTGGTGCTTCAATCATTAGACTTTTTGGGTGTTCCAAAACAGCCCAGCACGCATCTGCCTCATGAAAATCTGCTTGGAGTGTGTAGTAACTACTAAGGACTGGGTGGAATTTGAATCGCTGAGTAAGTTGATTGTGTGGCACAAGTGTATGTTGATTATGTTGAAGGAACAAGTGCGCAGGTAACAGGTAATATTGTTAAAAGCTTGTCACAATACTCTTAAAATCTTTAGGAGCCCTATTTTATTTTTTATGTGACAGTATCATCAAGCAATGAGCCCAATTTCAAACTTATAAAGTAAGTTCCTCTTGGCTGTAGCAGTCTTTTCATAGCTCTTAAAGGAGACTACCTTAGTGAATGGGTACGAGTTGCATCCTCAGAACCTGGCAGTGTAAACCTCAGCCAAAGCAGCTGCAAGGGAACCCTCTAAAGGAATCTGTATGTGTGGCTTCTCATCAATGATACCTTTTAAAAAATGCTGAAGCCTTTTTAAAAATTGTACCCGTTTTCTCTTTGATTGACTTTCCTAGGCTATGTCACAGCCGTGTGAATACAAAGACTTGCAACAAGATGTCGCCCCTATGAGAAGGGCCGTCAGCATGGATTTCATCGGCATTCGGCATACGAATGCCATCTTACCTTAAAGAGAGAAATCAGCAGTATAAGATCCTGGACTTGCCAACTATAAGAACTACAAAATATCACTTCTACTGCTGAAAAAGTCCAGGAAAATTAGGATTTTCTTTTTTTATGTTTTTTAAAAAAATTTTTATTGTTGTTTTTGTTGTTATTGTTGTTGCTATTGTTGTTGTTGGTGATTAGGATTTTTATAGAGCAGAGGCTTCTTCAAATAACCACACTGTGAAGCTGGGTGATGGCGGCATGAACAGTGGTGCCAGGGGCTACCTGCCCTTCTTGTTCCACTGAGTCCAGATGGCATTCCTAGGGCACCATCTTCTTGAACAACTCTTGGGGAGGAAGACTGTCACATGGACACAGCACATCCTAGTTCAGAGTCCTCAGTCACCCACAGTCCCAAGCAGGTGACAGTCTGAGCTGAGCCGGAATTCAAAAAACTTTAGAATTGGCTCCACATTTGTGAGAGTACCTGGGTTTGGATCTTTGTCCACGGAGGCACTGAATGCACGATGGCCCGAAACGACAAGTGTGGGAAGAGAGAATGGCATGGGGACATCACTCCAAGTACCATGGGGGCTCAGGCCTGTTCATCTAGTCTTTGGAGGGAATCTGTGCACGTGAAATGAGGCTCCCACATCGTGGTTACAAATGGAGAGATGAAATCAGCTCATCTTCTCCCAGGCCCATAATGGTCATGCCAAAACACAGAGTCTTGCTGTGTTACCAGGCTGGAGCGCAGTGGCGAGATCTCGGCTCTCTACAACCTCTACCTCCTGGGTTCAAGTGACTCTCCTGCTTCAGCCTCCCAAGTAGCTGGTACTATAGGCATGAACCACCAACCCACCTAATTTATATATTCTTAGTAGAGACAGGGTTTCATCATGGTGGCCAGGATAGTCTTGATCTCTTGACCTCGTGATCTGCCTGCCTCAGCTTCCCAAAGTGCTGGGATTACAGGTGAGAGCCACCGTGCCCGGCCTCATGTATTTACGTTCACAATAAAATGGTTTGGAATATCCCACTGTTGATTTGCGATTTCCTTCTACAAACATAGTCTGTGGCCCTGTATACATAATTGAATATTTTCATATATTGATATTTTGTGTCTGAAGATGAAATATTAGATGAAACATGTTAAAACATTTCATGCAAAGCCTTCGGTGGTTGTAGAGTCTACTCTTTGGTGAATACACAAATTAGTTTATTTTAAATATTAAAATTTTTATTAGATGTGATAATGATATTTTCTCTTTTATCTTCACTTGTTAGATATAGTTACTTACATTCTTCCATAATTAATGATATTGTATCTTATATTGATGTAAAAAACTCCTAGAATATTTGGAATTGATAGTTGAAATTAAACAGCAAAATGAGAATTGCTGAAACCTAGTGATAATGTACTTATGATGGGTTTATTATCTATTGTCTCTATTATTGTTAATTTTTAAAGTTTCCATGGAAAACTATACTAAGAACTTAAAATTTTCTATAAAACCCTTCATGCCCTGCACTTTAGATCCAATGCATAATGAATAAAGGAAAATGGATTCTCCTGTGGGAATTCTGCTGGACCCTTCCTTTCTTTTCCCTTTAACCTGGGGGGAGCGTCTTGAGGTCACCATGGGGTGAGGCGACCACGAGTGGGGTCCCTAGAGCTGCCACTGGGAGGAGTGTGTATGTGGAGATGGGTTTCGTGGCCACGTTTCTTCCTCGGGTCTTTCTGGTTGTGATGGTGGCTTTGAGGATGGTTTCTGAGGATCCTCTCCAGGGGAGTCCTCCGCCTGTGGTGTCTCCCTTGTGGGAAGGACCGAGGATATCTGGAGAGGGATTCATAGGGTCGCCCCTGTGTGACAGAGATGCCTTGTGCGGGGTCTCCAGAAAGCACCATTTTAGGGGCGGTGGAGCCTCATCTCCCTGCATGGTGGGCGGGATGTCTGAGGGACTGCTGGAGGGAAGCCCTGTGTGTCGGGGTTGCTGTGCAGTCGCAGTACAGCCCCAGACCTGGGGAAGTCATGATGGAGACTCAGAGGTGCTTGGGGCAGGGAAGGGGGCGGCCTAGGCAGTCACCAAGTTGTGACAGCATCGCTGATACCAGGAGGCAGTTTTGGGAGGGGTCTTTGGAGGGGAATAACTGTGGAGTCCCCACGGGTGGGGTAAGTGTGAGGGTGCTCCAAGGCTGGAGGTCAATGAGGGGTGGGTGGGAATAACCTAGGGGAGCTCTCAGGGGAATAATGGGCCCCCCAGGTGTCAGGGGTAGAAGGAAGGGGCCTCAGCAGGTCCTGTCTTGCAGGGTCCTTCTCTAGGGCATCTAAGAGATGGATCCCTGGGGCTCCTGAGGTCACCAGTACCGCGGGTGAGGTGTTTTCCAGGGTCAGACCTTCCTGGGTCCTGGAGCAAGGAAATGAAACTGACTTCTTCCTCCCCACCGCCTAGTTGGTGCTTGGCAAACTCCCTTCGGGGAGTTCCGGGGCTCCTGGACGGAGAAGTTCCTTGAGCCCTGGGGGACAGACGGGCCACTCCTTGAAAGCCGGCAGCAGGAACAGATGGAGATATGCACCTCTTCATCCTTTTATTGTGGAATTGGAATTGGGTTTTCTTGGCGATGGTGCAGGTCTGAGGGTGGTCCGGCGCTTCCCCTGCTCCTTCTCTGCCAGACGCAGTATTCATTGCAGATCTGACCCCTTGGGCTGGCGCTGAGGGGACCGTGGCCTGGTGCAGGGCGACATCCAGGCTCCAGGGACTGTCAGGGGCCATCTGCACCCTGTGAGCACCAAGTCCGCCCACAGCTTCTGCGCTGGCCAAGGAGGGCGCCTGGCACCAAATGCAGACCCACAGCGTGAGCTCCTGAGATTCTTTTTATTTCTGACACAGAGTCTTGTTCCAGAACCAGCCATGCCAGGTGGAGATACAAACAGAAGTAATGCGGAGGGCTGGAAAAAAAAGAAAAGAAAAAAAGGCAAATTATTGAATGTGGTAGTCATGAACTACGGGGTTTTGTATTGGATTTCATTGTTACTTTGGGTTTAGAATGAGTGACCGAAGGTAGTTTTAGGACTGGGATAGACAACTGTAAAGCTCCAGGCAACTGGAACCAGGAGGGTTTGCTGACCTTCCTGTGAGATGGCTCTTCTGAGCTGTTTTTGATAAGGGATATGCCCAACCCTAGGAATACAGCTTCACATTCCTAACAATCTGTGAGTCACAGGGACCTTCAATAAATTAAAATCATTTCCTTTGCTTTTCTGACCTGGTTAAACGAATCACATGGTTCCTGCCCATTAATACCCCTACGTCAGTAACCAAACACGTGCCTGTTAGCTTGCTGCCTCCTTTTTCTTTATTATGCTTTGAACTGGACGAGAAATATGTTTCATTTTTACAATCTGTAACTTGGGTTTCTGAAAGTCAAAAGTACCTTAGTGTATGTTGATATGTTTATTTTTTAAATGCTTTACTGGGGTATACTTTGCATTCACTCTCCTTTGCCACGTCAGATCTAGACAAAAATCAATTTTATGTCTCTATACATGATCCTATTATCAAAATGTCTAATACCCAGGATCATGAATTATGTGGTCTTTTGGGTCTGGTTCTTTCAGTCAGCCTAATGATTTTGGGTTTAATTTCTGTGGTAGCGTGTCTCATTACATCATTCCTCTTGGATGGCAAGTAGTGTTCTATTGCATGGACAAGACCACATGTTATGAGCATTCATCTAAGAGTCTTTATGATCATAGGAATTTTATTTCTTTTGCATACTAACCTTGGGCTAGAGTTTCTGTGTCCTCTAGTGATTTTATGTGCAACATTTTGAGGGATAGCCCCATTTTCGTTTAGTTTAGTTTTGTTTTCAAGGTGGCTACAATATTTTACATTCCCATTTGCAGCATATGTGAGTTCCATATTCCTCACTTCTTTTCTAACATTTGTCATTGTATCTTTGCTATAGCCATTTAAGTGGGTGTTAATTAGTATTAATTGTGGTTTGACTTGTATTTTCCTACCAACGAATGAAATTGAGCCAATTGGCAAATTGTGTATCTTCTATGGAAAATGTCTATTCAGTGATCAGAACCTCTCTCCTCTCCCTAAATAGCTGCCATTCAAAATCCCACGAAACACACGGAGGGGAGTGTTGAAGTTGGGGACCCTGGGAAGTCCTCAGGCCACCCCTGCATGAGGGCTGCCCCAGGAGACCAGGGTGAGCTTGTGAAGGCCCTGAAGCTCTGACAGCCCTGCCCACCTGAGACAGGGGCCCACATAGAGGAGGTGGTCTTGCTGGTCCCCCAATGCCTGGGTGTCCTCTAGAGACATTTGGGAGAAGGTTCTTTGCCAACAAGGATCCCTGCTAACCAGCAGGCAGGTGTGCGTGTGTGTGTGTGTGTGTGTGTGTGTGTGTACCAGAATTCTAGTGTTCACAGTGGAATTTGAAAATGACAGTGTAAAGCTGAAAATCTAATCACGCATGATAACACACCTGCAAAATTAAACCACTGCATAACAACACTCTGCTCTGTGCTAGGTGGGTTGTTCCAGAACTCAGGGCCCTGGGAACTTCCCTCCCGACAGAGCCCTATACGGTGTGTGAGGCCATGTACATGTGAACCAGGGCGGAAACCTGCGCAAGAGCAGGGACCTGGACCCATCTGATGCCTCCAACAGGGCTGAGGGTAGCCCCTTATCCTTCCTGAGCATTTTCACTGGGGCTGACCTGGGAGGTGCATGAGGCACTGGGGTTGGGAATTGTGCAGAAGTGCAGAGAGCATGGGGGCCAGGAACTGGTGAGGGGGGTGAGAAATAGGCCTTCCCACTGGAGGGGTCTGGGGAGGCACCCAGACCAGGACCACATTTGGGAAGAGAGACAACTGGCCCTGGACATCCTTTCCTTGTGCTGACCAGCGGCCGTGGGACTCTCAGAAGGGCTTGAAGATGAACCCCCTCAGAGGCATACCACCTGGGCACATCCTTTCAGGGAGCCAGGAGCAGCCATGGTGTCCCCTGCAGTCCCAGATCTGTGACTGGAAGGTGGGACTCCCTGCAGGAGCAAGGAAGAGGTTCCTCAGTGGGGCAGAGGGCCACACTCCAGGAGGAGTGGTGCATTCATGCTTGACCATTCCTGCATCCCTTGCAGTGCCTGAAAGTGCTCACCATAAGAAGCTGGAACCTACCTTCTGGGGACCACAGGAGGCATGGGGACCTCACGTGCTTCTTTGTGATCGTGGCTGAGGACTGGCAAGGCCAAATCATCGAACACACATGGGGCTTTCACCTGAATCAGTGGGTCCCTGCCAGACCACCATGACCCTCTGACATGCTAACAGTTCTGGGTCTGTGGGAAGACACTCAGCCACCCACTCAGTGACCACCCCCTCTTTGTAGATCCATGACCACTCATCGCAA